GGAGACTCCATGGGAGACTCTGCTAGAGGTGGCGCTGGGCGCAATATAAATTGCGCCGAGCGTGAGACTTGGAGAAAGTCTCTACCTTCCCTCACGCCGGGTGCAATAGGTATTACGCCGGGCGTGTGAGATCTTGTGAGGTCTCTGCCTTCCCTCACGCCGGGCGCAATATGTATTGCGAGGGGCGTGCTGGTCCCTGGTGCTCTCTGGTTGTGCTGCGCTGGGCGCAACCACGAGTGCGCCGGGCGCGGAGATGGGATTTTACTATATGCTAAGTTGAGTTGAAATGAATATGATGGGGTGACTAGTAGATAATGAAGTTGATGATGTTGAGTTGTGTTGTATGTTGACAAATTAAGTTGTGTTGTATGCTGCTGAGTAGTGTTGTGTTGTAAGTTGATATGCTGAGCTGAACAGTTGTGTTGCACTGTGTGTTGCCTTTGGATGTTGTAGGCCGAAAGGCTGAGGTGTTGTAGGAGATCTCCGAGCAGATTGTGCAGCTTGCATAAATATTATTGGATCCCGGGAAATTACAGAAGCTAAACTTAAGAGGAAATTTCGTGGGTTGACCCTCCCATTTGGATGGCGGTTGGATGCTGCTACAAGACTCTGTTTTATCTCAGATTCCATTGCTTGCTGGAGAGTTTGTGGATCTTCAATAACATGACGAACAATACTGGCAGCAACATTGTCAAACCCAGTAAAGAGGCTACTGGTTGGCAGAGAAAGAAGTAAACTTAAACCACCAGCATCAAAAAAGGTAAGAGCAACAGAATGATTCCTCGTAAGATTGGAACATAATAGCATAATAGCATGCATTGTGTCAGAGGGAAGTTGGTTCTTCATACAACTACAAGCAATCCCAACAAGTCTCTTCTGTTCATGTACATCTGCATACTTGGAAGAAAGTCCCAATGCAGACTGCAATTTGTGTTGTTTATCCTCATCAATGATAACTGATGTCTGCTGAACATTCACAGCCTCCTTCAACAGCTCTGCTATTTCAGAATTCAATTTTTGATCCACTTGCAACAGCCTGTCTAATGCCAGAAAAGCAGCTGTGACCCATTTTGGAACCTGGTGTTTCTCCCTGTTACCGATACCAGAATCCCACTGGTAGAGTAGATCTGAGGCAATTTTTATCAAACCACTCTTTGAAGCAGCTTCCCGGGCAACGGCATCCTCATTAAGAATCAAAGCAAGAACATGAAACAGAGCAGCTAGCATGGTATTATTTCCATTACCAGAAACCAATCCACATTCCTTGATCCGGTCAACAATAAAAGTGACAACATTAGATCTATATTGACCATCATTCTGAGAGCATATCATCATGAGCAAGTCACGGACAGGAAAAGCAAGAGGTTCCTTTTGTAGTAGTTTAGCACAAGTTGATAACAACTCATCAACAGGAGGAAGATGGACCATCTCTTCCTCAAGTTGTTGAACACTGTCATTTGCAGGAGCAGCATCCTTGGTGTCTGATTCAGAGTTCCCAAGGGACATGGCAAGTGCACGAGCAAGCTCGTCATCTTCTTGTGTTTCTTCTGGGTGGGAAAACAGCCACTCCATCGCCAACTCCACACTATTTGACCCAACATGCCTCAAAGCTTCTTCTGCTCTAGACCTGGAAAATCCCATCTCTACAATGGTTGAAATAGCTGTTTCATTAGGAGGAGGACCAGTAATACGAGCACTGGTGCTGCCATTTACATTTTTTACTTCAACCCCAGAATAAACATGCCTAATGATAGAGATAACATTAGAAATAAACTCATGACTGCAATCAACAAACTGGGGATGAGTCCAAACAGGAAGCACAGCCTTCAACACCATAGATTGGAGGACTTTCACAAATATCTCAGCATCCCGTGGGTATGGGATATCACCACTTGTAAGGGGCTGTGCAAGTAAAGGCTTTGTGAAAGAAGATAATATGAAAGAGGAGGTCACTAGATGGTCCATAAATTTACCATAACTAGCTAAAGAACCATAAATCCACAAATGATCTGTATCTTCCTTGTCATCCTGCTTCACATTAGCATCATCAGTTTCCATTGGTGATGCAGGAGTCCGATTAACTGCAAATAGCAACTGACTAGTAGCTTCAAATGTGGTCAATACAGATTGAATAACTCCATGCCCATACAAGCAATTCAGTAAAATGGGATTGCATGAATCAGGCCTTTCCATTAGAATGCCATCAATAAAATCAATGACTTTGCCAAAATAACGACCTTTTGTTGGTATAGATGCTTCTGCCACATGGCCCTCAAAATTCATGTGATCTAGAGCAAGGTTTGCAAAAGTAGAAGCCACTGATTTTGAAGCAGGACTTACACTTGCAATATCATCACGGCGGCGAGAAGGTTGCAGCATTACTTTTCCCAACTCTTGGAACAAATGAGTAATGTGAAATGAAAGTGATCTGACCATGTCACAACAAGAGGTATAATATGTTCTCTGCTTGTCGCTTTCCTTCTTATTAGCAGCCCCCAAAACATCTGTAGACCCAGAATGATGCAACTGATTACTGGATCCTAACCGCCTGCTCGTAGGACCCACAGAATTTGATCGGTGCTGAGAACCAGGAGCACGACCCAAATCTCGATACAGATTAATAAGGTCAAAAAATTGTGATTCTACACTCCATCCTGGAGTCCTCCTCCGGAGTAATGGATCAAGAAACTGCCTGATAGAATTGTACCTTTGCTCTGCAGTTTCATTTGCATCCACTTCTGCCTGTTGTGAATCAGTAGAACAAGAACCATCATCCTCAATATCAGGCTTTGTATTTTCAAGAAGAGCAATTTGCCACAAAACTTCACGATGGACACGTCCAATGTTTTCAAGAACATCCTTGCTACCATTTCCAAATTCTGTAAGCAAAGCAGTCACCCAACGATTGTCTTTTGATGCAGCAAGAAAGAGAAGAAACTCAACCAGGAAAAGTGAAGAAAAGACATTATCAGTTGTCATCTTTGGATCCAGCAACAAAGGTCCCGAAGCTGCACCAAACCCAGTTAATGCTTCATTCAAGTGCTCCCTAAGAGAGGAACAAAAGGCACGTGCCAAAGGAGTGGAGTGATGTTGAGCGAACCCTTTAAATACCATGGTGCTGTGCAAAGCAATAGACATCCCATCAGAGGACTGTGCAATAGTAGGTCGTAATAACAGCTTCAATAAAGCTTCAATTCCTGATTTTTCTACAAATAGCCGACATGTTTCAGAATTTTCCATAGTCCGGTGAACCAATACCATCAAATGAAAGATGCAAAGCTGGACAAATTGTTCATCATTTATGCCTTCAGCAGTAGATTCTGCTGTGCCTACAAGGCAACAATGGCTTTCATTTCCTTTGTCTTCAGAATCAGTTTCCATTGCACTATCCTCATTAGCTTTTCCTGAAGAAGACCCTGTATCAATACCATCTCCAAAGGATGCAATCTTATGGATGATTTCAATTATAATGTCGACACCAGTACTTCTCAATGAAGTCACATGTCGAAGAAGTTCCTCCACAGAATTTGCAAGCGGAACAATAGCCTCATTCATGGCAAAGACATACTTTTTGCTTGTAAAGATGTTAGCAAGAAACTGCAGTGATGAAGTTTCTCGGACAACCTCTAAGCCTTTGGCATTAAGACAAATGGCCCCAAGGCCATTTGGAATGCATGTCAGAGCCTTTGACGAAGGAAGTATTCCAGATACAACTGAAGATAAAAAAGCATTGGGAAGACCCATTTCATGCAAAGAAGAAAAGCACGTAGGATCTCTGTGGATTATTTCACTCATTACAGTAACAGCTGAGTAATAAATGTCTCCTCCAAATTTATTTACATTCTGAAAAATCAAGACTAGAGTCGCAGGTAATGAACTGTCTTGGGAGTTTTGAGATCTGGTAGAGTTTGCAGGGGCATATGTTGCAGAACCAAGGGCCTTAAGGGACACTTTTATCAGCCTCTTTTGAGAGTAAAGCTGATGAGTACTTTGTCTTGAGCTTTCACCAGTGAGCATCACATCAGCATTCTCTTCAACCAAACCAATGACCCTATGAACTTCTATCTGTAATCTTTGAGCCAAAAGCTCAACACCCCCCAACTCTTTAAACAATGATACAGCTGAACTACTACAATCCATAAGTTTCTGAAGGGTTTTCACTGCTAAACAAACAAGATGAATATGAGCAAGATCAGAATCCTCCAGCAGAGGCAAGAATGTGGGTACCATGCCAGAACCTCTAATATTACTCCCAGAAGATGATGTTGACACTACATGCAGCAGATAGAATTGAAGTAGTGCCTCAACAAAAGCAAAGGAAGTTGGATCATTTGAACTCTTCAACGACAAAATAGCCCTCTGAAGCACATTCAGTAGTATCATGCGGTTCCCTCCAGTGAAATTCAGACTAGATCCACTCAGTATCCGTGCCCGTTCATGAGATGACGTATATGCTGCTAACTGAGCTCCTAATGCAAGCATTACAAGTGTTCTGATAGATCCAGATATGGTTTCTTCAGATCGCACAACTCTAATCAATTCATTTGTGTATTCTGGTTCGTTGGCAAAAAAGGACACAAGCTCGTCATGAGCATCACTGGATTGGACCAACACAATGAAGGCAAGAAGACAAATCCTGCTATAAAGCCTGCTTATTCTCGCAGACCGAAAGGCACGAGCATATCTAATTCTTGTAAGCAATGAAAATCGGAGCTCAGGGGGAACATTATACTGCTCAATGCATTGCTTCAACATTGACAAATCATCTTCTTTGCGCAAATGCATATCTGGTATGTGTATAACTCTCAAGCTTGAGGAAACTGTATCTACATTTTGTTCCTTGCTTTGAACAATGGGTAAATGCAACTCAAAATAAAGAGTAGAACCTATGCAATAATTGGATTGGTCACAACCATTCTCTACATCAGAAGGAAACAAGCACAGTGCTTCATCCTGGGCTTTTTCATTTGCCATAATACAAGAGTACAAACCCATGCCCTCCTCCTTGCTTCCCCACCCCTGTGCTAAGGACAGGAGATAGCTATTCACTGAACCACAGCCAACCATTTTTGCACTTCCATGAAGCTTAGAAGGATTTATTTTTACAAGGGCAGCAAGAGTTTCTAATGTTGCAATAATAATCTCAGGATCCGTTGATGCTAGTAAAAGCTTGAAGTGCTGAAAAGGAAGGGAGATATATTAGAAAATAATAGTATCAAATCACCCAAGAATAAATCACTTGAATAAAGCAAAAGATGGAGTGAAGCAAAATAAAATGAAATAAGATTGTACTTGAATTAGGATACAATTTAACTTCAAATTACCTCTAAGCCATCAAATGAACTCTTGTTTGGACAGTTCTCTAAAATTATTTGCATCACCCGTAATATTTGTAGAATTGCATGTTTTGGTAATGGAATGCCAACTTCTAGGTTATCGGACAATGTCAGGTCATTTCGACATGATAAATATGACTTGAAGTATGTATCAAAATGAAGTAACAATGGTCTCCAGTGATGAAAATTTCCCTGATGTAAAATCAATATGTAAGTCTATGTGGAGAAAAAAACAGAATACTATATGCACCAACTTATTGTGCTATTACCTTATTATACTCCCACCGAAAACCAAAAAGGGGTATAGCTATATCTTGTAATGGACATTGAATGACCTTCTCAATGAAGGCTTTGATCTTGGGAGGCTGAAATCAATCAATCACCAAATTCAGATATGCTACATTGGTAAGAAGGGAAGAAACAACAGACAAAATCTAAGCCAATTTCAGATAAGTGTTGGCATAACCATGAATCATCAGGGTTTTGAAGGTATGAAAATAGACAGAAGTGAACATGTAACCAAAAGATGAGCTTATACACTAATACCAGTGCATCTAAGAATGGAAATTTTGAAGCAAATTTCAAAACGTACTAATTTAAATTTTACAAATGATTCATGTTAACTAATTTTTGAAAAGAAAAACAGTATTGATCAATTTACCAAAATGAATAAATAATAGTATTACTCAGTTTAAGAATTAAAAAAAAAAAATCAGCATTGAACATTAAATTTACCAGAATGAGCATGTGCATACTAAACATGCAAAATTCATATGAAAAACCAAAGGACATTGTCACTGAAAACAATGAATGCACAAAAAAACAAAAAAGACAACCCAAAGCTGGATAAAAGCAAGAAGTTGCCATACTTTCTCACATTCTGTGTAGGCATGCTAAACTTTGAGCGCATGATTTCACATTCATAAATATGAATATGCAAATGTCATCAAAACCAAAGGTTCACTTTATGAAATTTGAAACGTCTCCATTAAGTCTAAGAAACTTATTTACTTGCTGATCAAATCATTAACAGTAAATTATTGAATGACTGATGGAGAAAGCAACTAGTAATGCCCAGTAATACAGTGACAGCATATCCAAATAAAATTCTAAGGTAGCATATTTGTTTTTAAGTTTGGCAATGATAGTCTAACTAACAATTTTGCTCGTGGATTTAAAAAAAAAATAGTTAGTGTATTTTCTATTTTCGCAAAGAAACTGCTTTGTAGGCATCTTGTATAACATTGTTCATTGTTGTGGACAAAAGCCAAACCAATCTTAAAAATTATATATATAAGAAATGGAAAAGATAAGTAGAGATGCAAGATGGTGAGGATGTATTTGGAAGTTTTATATTAGCAGGCTGAATGTAGGTTTGGTTTAACTTATTTTGAAGAAATATCCCCCACTTTTGCTTCTTCACAAGAGAGCTTTTAGAAAGAAAGAAAAACCAAAAATTCCCCAGAATTTTTTTAACCAAACATGCACTTATTGTGGAAAATAATTCCTTTCTTCTATTCAGGAGAGATTTTTTCCGGAGGGAAATGGGAATCAATTATTCCCCCAAAATTAATCTATCAAACATGCAATTCAAGCTTGCTTGTTTATTCTAGCACGGATTAATAGATTTGGACAAGTTCCTATTATGTCTATCATAAGCCAAAGTCAACTAGCTCATTCTGCTATTCAAACACAACAAAATAAAAACTACGACTGTCTAATGCAACAGCCAATAAAGTTCTACATCACACACTATTGAATTGAATTTTGCAGTATTTTTTCCCCTGGCTATATAACAAAAAGCTCAAGCTGAACCCAGTATCTTTCACTTAAAAAAAAATTCCTTTCCAATTTCCCAAAAGCTGACCCCCTTTTAAACAAACGCAATTTTCTACAATTCTACTTTTGCCAAATGTTCACTTAGCACATGTTTGGTTGTGCGGTGCACAAACAAAAAATGCGTAAAAAAAATGAAAAATGGATGCAACAAGCAGTTGTTTTACTGTGAACATGAAAATTTCAGCGAGTTACTTCCCCGCGCCACAAAACCAAACATTTGCTTATTTTCCCATGTCATTTCAATTACTAACTAAATGCACATGCTATCAGGGTCTGCCGATGCTAAATTCATAACGAGGCCTACCTATTCCACCAGAGTCCCTCTCACTCATACATAACATATCATTTGCAAACTCCATATAGATGAATTTGCTAGAAAACAGAACCAAACAAAAAACAGAATCAACCAATCATATAAACCACAAACATTTCCATGTAACAAGCGCCTCCTCCTACACCACCTTAAACCAGCCAAAAGAAATGCAAAATGAAGAATAGCAAAATAGACACACAATCACCAAAGAACTGAACACCAAACAAAGCCAAGCCTTTGAAAAATGCAATTTTATTTGCAATTATTAGAACAGTTGAACGAAAATGGAATTAAGAAATTAAAGAAAAAAAGTGACAGAGAGAGAATACTAACAGGGTCAGAGTCGAGTTTGATGGATGGGCCAATGGAACCCTCGCTGGATAGAAGCTGACGCAGCCTCGAGGGCCAACTCGATCTTACGCTTGTCATCTCACCTCAGCTTCTCTACTTTGAACTGCAGATTCGATTAACGAAAACAATTAGCAAATAAAACGACGGAGAATCCACCCGAAGTATTCACAATTGAAAAGGAATGAGAAATTGGTGTTGGGAACAAAACGCAGATCGTATTGGCGGTACCTGAGAGATGAGAGAGGAGAGAGTGAGAGCATACACATAGGAGTGTGAGGGAAGAAAGGGTAAGGGTTCGGGTTGGGAATCTGCGTTGTTGCTGTTTGCTGCGAAAATAAAACCAAAAAAAAATTGGTTTTTTGCACACAAAAATTTAGCCCTTTTTCAAGCAAAGAATAGAGTATAAATAGTGAGAGAGAGGTGATGAAGAGTCTCTTTGTGTTGCAGACGCAGGCGGTGTTCCAAGAAATGCACAAACCGCGTTATGCCATTATTGCCCCTGGATTTTCAGCTTTTCTATTCAAGTCCATTTTTTTTTTAATAATGTTATATCTTCTTTTTCATAAAATATTAAACCAAAAACAAACGTATTTAATATTCAAAACATAAAATTTTAAACTTATGCACAAAGCATATTCGATATTTATCATATTATAAGGGAAAAAAATAGAACTAGTAAAAAGATATTTTAGTATAATTTAAGACTTTGGATTTGATCTCGTACAAATTTTTTATTTTGATGATATTAATTATTTAGAATTGATTCATTATAATATTGATTATGTTCAATTCATTTTAATTATCTTATGTATATTGCTACTTATTGGTCTGAGTGTAGATCTGTTAAGCAAGATTTTATAGAAAAATGACGTTACTTGGTACAAGTAATATAGATATAAAAAAATTGTTATATATGAAAATGTAATATTATATTTTACATTAAAAAAAATGTTAAACTGCACATACAATCTCACAGTTATTTATTTTATAAATATTTGTAATATTTAAAAAATTAAAACATTATAAGTAATTGCTTTTTATCGTTTATATTTGAAGGAATATTTAAACGAAAAATATATAAATAATATAAATTATTATTGCAATGTAGCAAATGATTTAATATTTTTATTGTATTTTTACTCTTGACAAATTATACTTTTAGATTTAGTAATATTGTTATTATTTTCATTTCTATAATTCTTGTTATTAAAACATTTTTATTTTTATACCGGTGTAAAATATTCTTATTTTTCATTTGATTTGTTGTTGTAACCCTATCTTATTTTTTAATTATATATATTTGTGATATATGTGATTAAAAATAATATTTTATGATATTTAGTTAGTTTTAGCCTTTGTGAGGTGGAAGTTAGAGTTGAGCAACTCTAAACAAGTTATAGGAGATAAAGCCTAAGTGTGTGAGAGTTGGTTTGAGGAAGGTTGTGACATATAAGACAAATTCTGATAAATGAACTTCATAAATTCATAATTTTTAAATTTTAGAAAAAAGTTAAAGAGGGGTCTATGGAACTAACAATGTCTGATTTTCAGTCCAATTCCACTATAATATCTTGTTGAACAAAAGGTTTTGAGCTTTCTTTTCTCTTCCTTCCTTTCCTTGATCAAGAGCAATTGACGTAAAGGAAACTTGTTTGATCTCTCACGTTGTATATGTTGATCTTCCTCTGTTAGCTCATGCTTTTGGTAAGCATTTAATATGGAATTGAAGGTGGAACCCTAGTATTCTTTGTTATTGATGTTCTCGGTGAAGAATGGAAAAATTGATAATTTTTGTTGTGCATTGTTGTTGCATGTTGCTTTTCTTTCCATTTCTTAGTTTTATGTTGCTATAATTGGTAGAATTTGAGTTGCATGCAGGATTTGTGGTTCGCGATGAAAGGATTTTGTGTTGTTAAATGTTTTCTTATAAGTTATTGAACTTGTTCTTGGGATATTCATGTTCTTTTGGGTTAGCTCGTTCAGAGCGTCCACATGGTCACTTAAGTAAGCAAATGTAACCAATTTAGGAGTAGTCCTTGACTTGACTTGCTTAGAGTATTAACTTAGGCGCTTGAAGTGAATTTTGGTGGCTCAGGGCAAGGCATCACTTGCTTAAGCGAGTTGAGCCCCCTTTCCAAGGGTGTTCTCTAGTTGAGCTCGCTCTGGGTGCTTAAAGTGTTATTTCACATTTGGAACTTGTATCTTCTTAATATATCTTGTTGTATTGGTTGATTACATGAAGATTGATGATGATTGAATCTAATTCATAGTATGTTGATCTATGATGATATATAGTGAAAATTTAAGTTGTTTTAAGGTTAATAATAACTCATTATTTGACATCGTGGGTTGTTAAGTTGCAATAAATTATGAGGCATGTTGTATCGAGTTGTGTATGATATGTTAAAGGCATTTTTATGTAGAATTTGTATTGTGGATGCATGATGCATGTTGTTGAGTTGTGTTGTATAATCATGTTGTGAGCTATGTTGTTGAGTTGTGTTGTTATGTTGAGTTATTAAGTTGTGTCGTGAACTTAAGATTAGAGGAAAAATGTTATTTTTAAAAGTAGATATATTTCATTGTGTCGATGTGTTGTGGTACTTTGACAGTCCAATCGTTGGAAAACTCTTTTTAAGTATTGTTGTTTCTTAAAATGGAGTATTAAGTTTCCTTAAGATCCTTAATTGATATCGTATGAGGGTTAGGTCCAGCTATACTAATATAAAATAAAAGCGACTAATTTGGTAAGATATGAAGTTGAGGAGTAAAATATTTAACTAACTATGGGAAAGGTGTCTAATATCACAAGGATGATTAGTGGATTGTACTCATTGGTGACTTAGTTAATGCATGTCAATGTAGTGACAAGTCCATACCTAAGCTATATTATTCCTAACGTCGAGTACTATACTTTCCTAATTTAAGTTGCAAAATTTGAGAAATCACATTGTATTATGAATTGATATTCAAAATTGATGTTAACCTAGCAAGCAAAAAATACCATGATGTTAAAATTTTATTTAATGAGGTCAAGCCACTCAGATTGTTCACCTGTATTATAATAGATCTCTTAGTTGAAATGTGTGACGACACGTGAAATATGTGTTGTTATGTGTTGTTTAATTGTTGAGTTGATAATATGTTATGTCGAGTAGTTGTGTTGTTAATATTTTGTGCCATGAAGTTGTTATGTTGTGGGGTTGTTGTGCTATTAGGTGACTATACTCTTAAGTCAAAGATATTCTGTGTTGCTATTGAAATAAGTGAACTATTGTGTTATTGTGTTAACATGTTGTAGTGTTGTGTAAGTTGAAGTGATGTTAAGTTATGTTGTGTTGTAAGTTGAATGTTGTTCTTATATTGTTTTGAGTTGCTACATGGTTCTTATACTATATTGATATGTTTAAAAGTTATTATGTTGTTGATAAAATCGTGTTGTCCATATATTGAGTTGTAAATCTAAGTTGTATGCTGACATGTATTGCTAAATTGGGCATTAGGTCGTGGTACTATTGTGATGATGAAGTTGTTTTATAGTTAGCATTATTTGTTTCTATATTATGTTAATTCTTTGTATCAAAGGTTACTCTTACTTTTTATTGTTGTGAACTACGATGATTATACTTGTTATAAGAGTAAGATATGATTAGGTTGAGAGTAGACTTGGTGGATAGCCATGCTAAAAATGGCTTTTATGTCGTGTTTAGTAGTTTTGATACATGTTTTAGACATGCTTGACCAACGTTAGGACTTTGTGTTTTCAGTATTTTATACTAGATGTATATTGGTAAACATATATTGATATGTATGTATAGGGTTTTGTTGTAACCCCATAATGGATTTGATTTTTTAAGTAAAAAATTGGCAAGGTTTGTTTTGTGTTTTTTGCGGCCTATACATGTATGTGTTGAATGAATGTTCAAGTACCGTTGCATAATAGCCATAGTTTAGTAGATTTTTGTGTGTGTTCCACTACATAGTGTTGTATTGTACTAAAAATAGTAACTTATTAGATTGTTACAATTATGATGATATTTACTTATCATTTTTGAATTTTAACTTCAATATTATTATTTAGATTAAATTATAATTTTAGTCCTTTTTTTATTTTTAAAATTTATTTGGTCATTTATTTTTTAAAATATTTATTTGAGTCTTTTATCTCCTAAATTTGAGTTAATTTGTCTATATTGAAATAACTATTATATTCAATTTTGAGACATGATTTTCTTGACTGACTCAAAACTAGAAATTCACTTATATTAAAACGATTAAATATAACTAAATTTCAAATAAAAAAGTGTTATAAACATAATAAAAATTATATAAAATAATTTTTAAAAAAAATAAAAACATTAAAAAATATATAATTTTATATTATTTTATAGTTGTTTATGAAATATATTTTTACACAACTTTCACTACATATAAATCATTTGGATTTGAAGTCATCGAATTTTTTAATTTTTATATAAAAAAAATCTAATATTATAAATTTTATGTTTTAAATTAGTTAATAATTTATTCAAGTTGTAAAATTGAAAATAATTATTATTTTAAAAAAGTTAAATTGATTCGAATATAAAAATAAAAAATTAAAATAAACCCTAATTAAATTTCATTTTCAAGAAATCCAACCTTGTAATAAGGAGTTAATGAACCATTAATTCCCTTGTACAATATTATTGTCCTTGTCATATATTGATAATGCATGCAACATATTTTGACTTACACAGTTACAGCTGAATGTCTTTAAATTACTTCCACATTCTCCCCCTCCTTTAACGTTATCGTTATTTAATTTCAAAGTCTTATTAATATGCTTTCCTCTTTTAAGATTAACTAATTCAATATCGGTCTTCTATAACAAAATTAACACGTAACATTAATAAAGAGATACCGCTTTATGGGCATATATCAATGATAACTTCCTTATCATCTTTTAAATTTGTACACGTAACAAATATATGATTAAATATATAGAGAGAGGATAAATAATGTAGACATCAATGATATAAAAAAAAAATTATATGGATATTTTACTATAAATTTATGATTTTATAATTTTGTTTGGTGAACACTGAATTATGATGACAACACAGTTTAAATTCATGATTCATGCATATTATTTTTAATATTTTATCACTGAGTCAATCATAATCTTAGTGATTAATTTTTTATAATAATTATTTTTAAAATAATATTGTTCTTACCGGAAATTTGCTGTAGAGATGATCCTCCGACTCTTGATGGTCTTTTCCTTTTTGAAACTTTCTTGAATCCTGTCCCTGTATGGCATGATCTGTTTGGGGAAGATTCTGATGAGACATGCCCTATTTTTCAAGCTATTATTTGTGAAGTGCCTACCATTATCATCGTCCGAATGTTAAAATATTAATATTTTTTAATAAATTTATTATAAAATAATTATTTAATTTAATATTTTATAATTTAAATTAATATTTTAATGTTTCGGAATGTTTTTCGAAACGAAGAATTCGGACGATGTATCATTTTTTATTTTTAATGAAGAGCAAAAGTTCTGGAGGGGCAAACCTGTAACACATCACTTGAGGAGTCTGAATTGCATCTAGGCTCATTCATCAGTTCCCAAGCAAAAATAGTTGGATCTTCCTTGTAAGTGATATTTGTGAATGTATTAACTCTATTGAGCACCGTCTACAGGGTGAAAAACAGTATATATATATATATATTTAATAAATTTTTAAATGGACTTTATTTGTGGTTTTGGTATCAAATAATAAAGCTCCATGTTTTTGTTATAATGTTTTTCAGTTATGTTGATGTGCAAAGCATGTTATTTCACCTGTATGTGGAAGAATCATAGGATATTATTGAGTGTCCTCAGAGTGTTTAGCAAGTTGCCAAGGCTGCCAGCCTTTTATAATTGAGTAGAGTTTTATCATATGTATGTTCTAGTGCATAAAGAATAAATTATGTCAGACAAACTCATTGGGGCTATAATATCATATTTTACTATTAGGGATTGCCATTAGCAGTTGTGGGCTTGCATGTGTCATCTATCTTGAAATTAGGGGTGTACGGATGTGAAGTTAAAGTGTAAATATTTTTATGGAACCTTTGTCCTCTAGCCAACAATGAGGTCACACATTGCTTTACTAAGATTAAGTGTACCAATACACTCCCTCTTGAAATTGGGAGTATATGGTTGTGAAATTAAGTGTAATTATTTTTATGGAACCTTTGTTCTCCAGCCAACAATGAGGACACACATTGCTTTGTTAAGACTATTATTTTGTTACTGCTTTATAAGACATGATCTGTTTAAATGATGAATATAATGTTACAATCTTGTTGAATACAATAGACGGAAGCCCATGTGTAGTGATTATTATCCTTTGGAATAATACTACTTTTGATGCTCTTGCCGTTTTTAAACTTTCTTGAATTCTGTCCTTGTGTGACATGAACTGTTTGGGGAAGATGCTGATGAGACATCCTATTTTTCATGCGATTATTTATGAAGTGCCTTCCATGTTAGATCTTTGAAAGTTGAAAAAGTGCTTATATATATAATAAGCCTTCAACATCTTTTAATTTTTATATTCATGGTGAGAACATCCATGTTGCTTGTGGTCATAGAAGGAGCCCCATGTGTGGTGATTATTTTCCTTTGGGATAATACTACTCTTGATGGTCTTTTCCTTTTTGAAACTTTCTTGAATCCTGTCCCTGTATGGCATGATCTGTTTGGGGAAGATTCTGATGAGACATGCCCTATTTTTCAAGCTATTATTTGTGAAGTGCCTACCATGTTAGAGCTTTAAAAATTGAAAGAGTGCTTATATATATATCAGCCTTCAACATTTTTTATATCCATGGTGAGATTTTGAGGAAGATGCCAGCGAAGCGCTCCATGAATGTCCTTAATGGTTCGTCGTCACCCTATCTGAGGATGGCCAAGGCGACGGATGTGATGTGATGAGGTCGGCTCGTTGCGTATTGCGCCGTGAACCGTTTGACCAGGGTGTCGAAGCTGTCAATTGACTCGGCAGGTAGCTGGGTGTACCAGTTGAGCGCGACCCCTTTGAGCGAGGTCGAAAAAACCCTACACAGAATAACATCGTTATTGGTGTAGAGGTTTACCTGTGTGGTGTACAGGTTGATGTGCTCATCTGGGTCTGTCGTGTCGTCGTAGCGGTCGAGGTGGAGAGGCTTCCATTCGAGAGGGAGTGGCGTCTCCATAATGCCATCCAAAAAAGGATGACGACGAAAGGTTGGTTGATCCCCCGCGAGATGAGTATGAGCATTGCTGACCTCATGGGCCGATTTGTGTGTCAGTGCATGAGATCGATGCGTGGCAGGCTTTGGAGTCGGTGTCCTATGCGCTATTGCCGGTTGAGCACTCGAGTGCCCCTCTCCCTCGTTTAGGTGACTCGATTGAGGGGGTTGATCAGAGGTGCGCCGTGGTAGCTGAGCGCGGATATGCTCATTCTCGACGCGCAGCACCGCTAGGTCTGCTTCATTGGCAGTTCGCATCGCGGCTAGGTCAGTTTTGTGCTTGGCATGCATGTTTTACAGATCGGTGGTGTGTTGCTGCCGCATCTACTCGACCTGCTCGATCAGCCTTCTCAATGCTGCTTCATTGTCCATGGTAGTTGCGTGATCTAGGTCTTTTGTTGCGCGTCTGCTATGGCTTCTGGTAGAAACCATAAGAGTGGCCGATAAGAGCTGTCTTGATCGGCCCCACGGTGGGCGCCAAATGTTCTTACCGGAAATCTGCTGTAGAGATGATCCTCCGAGTAAGATTGGTGAGCCTCCTTCGCTGGTACGCTTGATGCTCCAAGATGGGGGTGGTACCTGCAAAAGAGACTCCGATGCTAAAGTTAGTGTTTGTGGATGTATGAGTCTCGTATAAGTAATGCACGCACCTTTGTGTGTATTAGGGTTTTGTTGGGCCTTGGGCCCGAGATCAGTTTATGACCTAATTGTATAGCGAGCCGATGTCGCTTAGCGCGTGTCCGAGGTCACTCCGCGCTGTGATGTCGAGCTCAAACTCGGCATAGCGGTACGGATAGTACAAATACTAATAATAATTTTTTTTTATTAATTTGTATTGTAATCTTTTTACACTAGTGCATGATGGTAAATAAAAAGTAAAGTCATAAATATATACATCTCATTATAATTAAAAAAAATATTGTATGAAAACATATTACTATTTTTTATCATTAAATATTTTTTTTATATAAATTTAGTAGATATATATTGTTAGTGTATTTTTTTTTATATTATCAACTAAAAATATATTTAATATGAATTTTAAAGTAGTTATTATAAAAATTAATAAATTTATTATAAATATGATTTATTATTGAATAACAATGACATTTAAATGGTAATTGTATATATTAATTATTTTTATTTTAAACTTTTTTTACTTATATGAAAATTTAATTCATTATACTTTATTATATATATTTTTAATTATTTTCACAATTTTTAAATTATATTTTTATAACTATTTTTTTATATAATTATAACCATTTAATTTAAAATGTTATTATTTATATTATTGTTATTATAAAAGTTAATAAAAATTAATATGCGTGTCAATGTGTTTGACAAACACGAGTATTCTCTTGAAATAGAGCTTGATTTATTATTAAAAAATATGTGCATAAAGTTGTATTCTCTTTGTATTTTGGAGTATAAAATGACAAAATTTATTTATTATTTTGGGTTTTTATATTTTAAAATTATAACTAATATAATTCCGCTAAGGGAAATGTGTCCGGATCAACAAAATATGAAATATATAGTTAAGAGTTGAATTTGTTTTATATATGTTTATGCTAGTGTGTATCTATCTATATTTATATATAAAAATGATTTTTTATTTTATGTATATAATTTTTGAACTATTTTATTTTTTATTTTTTAAATAATAAAAAATAATATTAAAAATTAATTATTTTTGTAAAGTTAATACTTAAATTTGAAATCTTAAAATTTGAGTGTTAAATGTAACATTAACTGATTTAACAAATTTTTGATAATTTTTAAACAAATACAAGGATACAGAATTTCTCGATCCAATACTATATATAAAAAGTATTTGTTGGATGTGATGAATCCTGAATACAAAATTTTGCCAGGAAATGGCTTGATTTAAAAACAAATTGTGATGCGTTGGCATACAATCGTAACTTGCAATGAATTCAATGTGTTAAGGAAACTTTTAGAGCTGTGAAATTCATTCAATCGTAACCTGCAATTTGCAAATAATTCAATGTGTTAACTCATTTCCCCATTTTTGTGAAATTCATTGAATTCAATTGGAGGGGTTTCCATCTTCCATTTCAATGTCCTTCAATTCTCACAGAGGTGGCTCCTTCAACGGTGATGTTGCTCCTTATCGATCCAGGTCATTTTATTATCTCCCTCCTTCTTTCTTCTATTCCTTACATAGAATAAGAGAATGGCATCAATTGAATTTGCGAAAATTGCAGAGAGGGGCTTAGCACCCGACCCATTGCAGCCTCCGATGAAATCCAATTGCGTATTGATCCCGGCGTCGACTTCGACGACGAAATCACCGGTCTTCGTGGCCAAGTTAGAAAATTGAAAAATGTATTTTCCTAATCCCTACCTTTTGTTCTCTGATTCCTAATGTCCTCGTACAATACAATTTCATGCGTTTCTGCCGCAGGTTGCTGAAGATATTGGTACAGAAGTCAAGTTTCAGAGAGATTTTTTGGAACAAGTGGTATGTGGTTTCTTCAATAACCTTTATTTTGCAGTTTTTTTTTTTTTTTTGTTATTTATTTGCTTGTTTCAAATTTTGGGTATATGATTTAGGCAAACGGTTTTGCTTTTGAAAATGTAATTACTACCTGTGTTTAGGAAAGGTTTCTCAATGAAATTATTTAGGCTCGATTTCTTATAATGTTGAGGATGTTAATGTTGATATAATATGATATGTCCGATGAAAATTTTGTCCAATATTTTTAAATTTTCATGTTAATGGGATTTACTACTCTCAGAATATGAGTACAGAAGAAAATTCATTAGGCGTGTTTCTGTTGAGTGTTGTTTTGTAGTAATTGATCAGTCATTGTTACATTGTATCCTTTTCAGCAAGAAATTATCCAACTGTCTTATTAATATTATGGTTGTCTCTGTTTTATAGCAAATGACAATGATAAAAGCTCAAGCTGGGGTGAAGAATAATTTAAGAAGGTTGAACAAGAGCATCATCCAAAATGGTTCCAACCATATTGTTCATGTGATTGTTTTTGCATTAGTTTGTTGCTTTATAGTGTACTTCTGGTCAAAGATTTCCAGAAAATGATGGCTCGTTGTCAAAAGATTTCACTCAAGGTCTTCTTTAGATTACTATGATGCCTACTTTTGTTGTACAGAAAAGCTACCTGTTGCAGTTTACAGTTAAAAATTACCCGGCTTCCGAGTTATGTTTCTCGGTCGAAGCAGTAGTTCTGTAAAATAGAAAGGATAATTTGTTTGTTTAATAGATTGCAAAATAAATATCAGGTGAATATCTGATAAAAGTAGAAAATAGCAACCTTGAACTTTACTTTCTTGATGGCACGAGATGAGAATCTGGTTTGGATTAAGCCTCAATGGTGAAGTATGTTGCTTTGTTTTTGCTTTCACTGGTAATTAAATTGTGTGTACCAAAAATTACGAAACATTGTGTGGCGGGAATAATTCTTTCGGGGGCGTAAGGTACGGTAGTTTTTTTTTTTTTTTTTTTAGAATCATATATGAAAATTATAAATTTTGGAAATTATGATTTTTAGATATGACAAAATCCATCTTCTTCACTATAAATGTTTTTTAAATGAATTATAAATGTTACAAGAGAATCACACATTTTTTATTACATTAAATATGCAAGTAAATAAAGTAAATGTGATATTTTTATTACATTAAAATAATCATTAGAAAATGTTAATTTCTCATCTCATTAAAAATTTCGTATAAAGCATTTTTGATAAACAGTGTTTTTTGGTAATATTATTTTTTAAATAATAAATCAAACATAAAATGTAACATTAAATACAAAATGTGTATTAATTGATTTTATCTTATTATATAAAGTTGTTAACATTTTAAATGCAGAACATATTAGTCAATTTTTTTTGGTTAAAAACAAATTAATAATAAGGTTTTATTATAAAAGTAATTATAATTAATTGTTGATTAAAATTATATAATACATAATCAGTTTTAATTAGGTGCAAATATATTTTAATAACGATATAAAGATGTAATCATGTCTTATTATGTAAAATTTATTATGTAAAATTGTTAACATTTGTGGTAGTTCTAATTTAGTGATAATTTTTTTGCTCAAAATAAGATATAACTCTTATTTCAGACATCTCTTTAATTATACATAATAATATTTTCTTTAATCATACATAATAAGATTTTAGAATTTGAATATTGTAAAGTGAGAGATATACTTTAGAATATAAAGTGTACTTACAATTATTGATTACAAAATTAATGATTAAGATTTGTGATAAAATCAAATTATTATAAAATAAAATAAAACATAATATTAATTGTTAATTTTTTAATTAATATTTATATTGTACTTTATTTTCTAAAGTGCAATTTCATTGTAACGACACGATTTAGTTCCTACACTTTATTGCACAGTTATTAGTAGTGGAAAACATCTAACTTAATACTATATATATATACAAACACTATAACGTATTATATTGCTCGCATATAAAGGAAATCAACTAAATAAATAGTTGTAATATAAATACAGTAATCCAACAAATGTAAACTATACATCAGAAGTTATCGGTCAAGCAACTATGTTGTCTATATAAATCTACCACCATCAGATAGTCAACAAAAGGTCCTTTAGCTCATGCACCTTTGAGTGGCCACCACAACAACACTCCAACGTATCACTGCCTTGCTTCTATACTACATATGATTATTGTAACATCCCGAATTTTTCTACTAATACTACAAATAATTATTATTTATTTTTGTATTTATGAAGATTATTTCCTTATAATTATTTTGATTAATTAAATGGGTTTAATTGAATTTTTAAAGGGTTTTAATAATAATCATTTATGAAAATTATTTTTTATAATATTATTAATTATGATATTTTATTATAATTATTATTTGAAGAAAATCATGTTTTAAATTGTATTGATATTTTATTTTAATTTGATATATATATATTTGTTATTTATTTATTTATTAATTAGTAATTCTAGATTTTCATAGTCCCGGAACGGACCGTTCCAACTCGAGCATGCATGGGTAAAATTTCAACCCAGAATGGGACGTTCCACTTTGGGAACGGGCCGTTTCAAATTTGATTTTAAAGAAAAAAATATTGACTCAGAACGGGCTGTTCTGGTTTTGGAACGGGTCGTTCTAGGAGAGGCTTTTGTACATGTTTTATGTGGCCAGAACGGACCGTTCCGGATTCGGAACGGGCCGTTCTGGCCAAATCCTAATGCCTATAAATGCGTTCCGATACTCCAGAAAAAGACATTTTTTTACTTTTGACCCTTTTTCTTCTACACTTTCTGGAGACCAAGGAGAACCCGGAGGAGGAGATCCTGCTTCAGTTTCAACCCCTGTTTATCGAGGTAAGGGGGGAGTGAGAAACCTCGCTTTGGGTGTGAGATTGTATGCTGGGTAGTGGGATTGACCCTCAATCCTCTGTTTGTTGTATGTCATATTTTTCTTGTATGTTCCAATTACTTAATTAATATGCGTGTATGAATGTAAACTTTGTTTAGGCTATGATTGTGGAATTTGGTGCTTCTATGGGTTCCTACGGGAAACCCTAAGGGAGTGCGTTGGTGCTTGTATGAGTAAATTAATTGTGATAATAATTATATACGTGAATTGTCTTATTTTAAATGTTTATTGCATAAATTGGAACGATTTATGGGTTCTTGAGAGAACCCTAGGAGCAGCAGACAAAATAGGAATATTTCTGTTTTGCCTTCTGTCTATTCCGTTATATTCCATATTAAAAGAGATGTGTGAATATGTGTTTAATTTTGAGAATAAACAAGTTTTGATATAAATTAGAGTGTTCTGTGAGCTCCTGTGGGAACCCTATGTGAAAGAGACATATTTCTAATATTTTCTGTTTTACCTTCTGATTATTCTGTTGTATTCCTTGTTGTATGAGATGTATGAATATATGTTTACTTTCGCAAATAGATGAGTTCTGATATGAATAAAAGTGCTCTGTGAAAATTGTGAATATGATGTGATAATGCGAATGTGATGATGAAATGTAATGAGGAGATGTGATGATGAGATGTGTTGAGACATGATAATGTGATATGGGAATGAGACATGAAAATGTGATATGAGAAAAGCATGGAGTCTTGATTGACATGCATCATATGCATAAATGTTTTTAAGGGTACGATATGGAATACACCGCCAGAAAAAGGCCCCCTAGTGTAAAAGCTTTGGGGATTAGTCCTTGGGGATAACTCGGTTTGGAAGTCTCAGTCTCGCCCATTGTGTGCATGGGATGTATCTTGCGCGGCTTAGCTATCCCGATGAGACTCTGGTAATATGTCCTTCTAGTGAGAGTGCGCAGAGGGTGTGACCCGGCATGTACTCCTAACTACTCTTCGTGTATTGCTAGCGGCAATATGCCATGTGATGTTTTACTGACGCCACATGCATGATAATATGTAGTCCGTGTCCATGCATGTGCATTCTTATTATTAAATGATGATAAATTACTATTTGTAATGACTTGGATGATTGGATAAGCTATTGTTGTTGATTGATCTATGAGGTAACTGTATTGTTTGTGTTTGGCTATCCGGCGTATATTTCTACACTGTGAGTCAGAGTGAGATGTTTCTCACTCGCTTTTCTCATGTTGTTTTGCTTTGACTATTATACAGGTGATCATCAGTGTGAGGCTGTAGATGTTGGTGATGAAGCTTATGCTTCTATGTTGAGTTTTGCTCTGATAGGACATGTGACATCGGGACATAGATAGGATTAGTTTAAGATGTTCTTATTAAATTATTTTGAAAATTTCAATTTTATTTCTTTGTAATTTTACCGGCATGTTATTTGGATTAAGTTTATGAATGTGAACTCTTTACCTTTACATGGTTGGAAATTTGGTTTTTAATGATGAAAAATTTTATTTTTTTTATAATTACTGTATATGTATGTTGGGGTAGAGGGTGTCACAATTATCGTAGTCCACACCATATAAAAACATGTAAGGGTAACATAGAATAAAAAAAACAACATAAATACATCATAAGAACATCACATCATCATCTTATCAACAACACAATGATAGAACATCATAGTATACAACACAACGATTTAAATTCAACACAGCAACACAGGTCATCACGATTCAACGTAGCATATGAACAATACAATTGACTCAATACATCATATGCTCAACACAATAAAAATATGTGTCGTCACACATTTCAACTAAGAGATCTCCTACAACATAAGGTGAGTAATTTAAGTGGCTTGACCCTATCAAACCAACAACATAGGATGACCTTTTTGGGCTTGCTAGATTAACAACAAATTGGATAAAATCCACAATATAGCAACTCAATTTCTTTGATGTCGCCACTTAAACAAGGAAGTATAATACTACTATCACAGTAGAATAGTTGGGTACATACTTATCATGACATTAGCTAACTTAACCAAGCCTCCTATGTGATTAGCCCATCGACTACACTCCCAATACTACAACCTTTCGATACTCAGTTAGGAATTAGATTCTCGACTCCGTACTTTACTCGATTGGTCACTTGTAATCAGTATAACTTGATCTAACCCTTATATCGTGGTCGTTTCATACACGTGTACCTCGACCGTACCCACATATGGTACCAACAAAGTTATAGAGGGGAAACAACACAACATCCACTTTAAGGGTCAACTTCCCAAAAAGGATTTTTTTTAACAAAATTGGGCTTTCGAAGCACCATAGCACAATAGGATATGCAACTTTCAAAAATTTCCCCTTTAGTTCTAAGTGGTCAACACAACTCAACAATACATCAACTCTTTACAAATTCAACACAACAACAAAATCAACATACAACTTTACATCTCACAACTCAATCATCAAGCAACTCATATTCAACTATTTAATCAACATGCATCTCAACAACACATCATACTTTCAACATAACTACACAATCAACACGCAACTTGGTCAATGCACATCTTACAACTGATCTACTTCTCGCCTAACAACTCATAACAAAATCATCACATACTACTTCATCACTACAACTCATTCATCATGTCTCCATTTAACAACTTAAATTAAGTATTAAACATTTCACCAGTTATAACATATCTCATTCAACAAATAACACCTAGCGCTACACACACTATGCCTGATGCCATTCAGATAGGGAGCTCTTTGTCTCATCCATGCTCGTTGTTATACAACCTGCACTCAGCATGGCTAAAGCATAGGCTCTTGAGTCCCCACGCCTGGTGTGGTAAAGTACCACACTCGGCCCTACCTCAAGCAGAGAGTCTCTGCCTGAG